GCCCCAAACTTTCTTAGATGGTACCTGTGGTATTTAAAAGCCCTAAAGCGCAGAGACAGTGTCTGTCAGCCTTCTGTTAACCACAGGGTCTCTCTCCTGCAGGCTGGACCATTATGCCATTATCAAGTTCCCATTGACCACAGAGTCGGCAATGAAGAAGATAGAGGATAACAATACTTTGGTTTTCATCGTCGATGTCAAGGCAAACAAGCACCAGATCAAACAGGCTGTCAAGAAGCTGTATGATATTGATGTGGCCAAGGTCAACACATTGATTAGGTGAGAAGGGGAGAATAGGTCACTAGTGGGTGAGATATTCTTCAAGAGCCCAGAGTGGCTTTTAGCAGAAAATGGGAACACGTGTGAGTTTCAGCAGCTGTGGGTACTCTCAGGAGGTGTGGGATTAAGCTCTGTAGCACTTTCAGTGTTAAGGTTTTGAGAAATGCAACTTGTGGCCAAGCACATCTTAGTGGAAGTGGGAAATGTTGGCAGCCCAGAGGGTCGGCTTCATCAGGGAGTTCTTCTAACACCCAGGGAGTCTTGTGCAAATGATGTGAATGTGTTTTTACCACTGAGTAAAGTGATGTTTCCAAAGGAACCACTGATGCACACTGCTATAGCAGGAACGTGGAGCAGGTGGGAGGAGTTGGGTGCCTCTGTACTGATGCCTCCTGTTCCTCCTTAGGCCTGATGGGGAGAAGAAGGCTTATGTCCGACTGGCTCCAGATTATGATGCGCTGGATGTAGCCAACAAGGTGAGAAATCTTTGAAACCTTGCAGCTCCTGTTGTCTTATATCTCCTGCGCCCGGTTGTTCTTCCTGGCTTACAGGCGAGGTACTTGTGCTTCAAGCATGGCAGCGCTTCTGTGGAGTGTCCTTGTAGTTAGACAGGATCCAAGTGTTCAGAAGCAAGACCACATTGTCTAGCAAAACGCAGTTCTGCCTGGAAGATTGTGAGATTAGCTGGGAAAAGTTACCAAGAGAGAATTGCTGCTGTTCCTCAACTCCTCCAGGGAGGGGCTCCACTCCACAGGACTACAAGAGCTCCAGAGTATTAGCGGGGAGGATGCAGAAACTGCCCTGCAGCTTCTGAGTTGACACAGCGTTTGTCCTAACAGTGTGCTTGGCCAGCGCTGTTGGCAGCTCATTGAACAGGGGGAAATTATGTCAGGCACACTGCTGCGCTGCCAGCCTGGGTGAAGGAGGGGTTTCTGCCATGCGGGTGGCTGGAAGCAGCCAGCAGTTTAGTCCTCGATGTGGTCAAGGTAGACGGGAGGCAGTGGTGGTATGTGTTGGAGCAGGGGGATGTGGCCGTGGATTAGCGCTGGGGTCACTGTGGAGTAAACATTTAAAACGGTTGTGTAAGGCACTTGGGCAGGTCTGGGAGGAAGAAGCCTGTCCTTGGAGGACAGGAATCCCGGGGAGATGCAGCCCTGGCAGTGATGTCTGTGGTGGAGGCTCTGCCTTTCTGCCACTTTAACATCTGTTTTAATGTGCTTTGCTCCTTTCCAGATCGGAATCATCTAAACTGCGTCTACCAAGGACTGTACAGACAGGATAATAAACCCTGTGACACCACTGAGGGGCTCTTGTGTTTTGTGACAGCATGGCCCATGCAAAAGAGAGTGCCCAGGCAACTTTTGGGGCTTCATTTCAGTAAAGGGGTTCCTCCCTCCTTCCCTCCTGCTGTAGCCTGGTACTGGGTGGGCAGAGCTGACTGCGCCGTGAGAGTCCCACCCCAGGGTCTCCTGGATCACTGACATGTTCTCTCGGCTGTCGGTAAACATGAGGTTACGCTGCCCTGAATCTCAAATATCTCTGTTTACCTGAGACTTCTGGTATCCTCCTGCATTTTGTTGCCCTGTGTAATTAGGATGTGTTTGTGATCAGTGTTCTCGGTGTCCTACATAGCTTCCTTCTGGAGTGTACCGCAGGCTGATGAGTGCCCAGGAGGTAGGTAGTAACCCCAACAAAAACCTGTTTATGGTTCAGATCTGGCACAAGCGGAGTCTCGCGCCATTTCCCAAGTGTATCAGCTATTTGCTTACACTGCAAGCTTCACTTGACGAAGCCCTCAAGCTAGTGCTATTGTAGGGGCTTTGTGTGATTATTGTTCCCCCCCCCCGACATTATTCTATGATTCTATGATTATCCCTGCGTTGCAGCATGCAAATCGTAGCCTGTTTTCCCTGACACTGTTCCTGTTATGTTTCCTGTAACCTCACGGGGTTCACGGCCTTCATTGGGGCTGTTTCCAAACTAGCTGCTGTTGCTGCCTCAGCAGTCCTTTGCTTCCTCAAATTTGTAGATGAAACTGGCTTTTCAAAGTGCTTGGAGAGTCACAGGAGTGTGGAGTGCTGGGTGAGCGGGGAATGGAGGTGAAGTACAGATAAGCCTTTAGGGGTACTTGATCTCAAGTATGTTGACTGAGTCAACCAGTCACACTTGACTGAGGTGGTGAAAGCCGTGACCAAATATTGATCGGGGTAACTGAGCTCTTGGGCAGTGGAACACGGTGTTCCTTCAAGCCTCTTGCAGAGGGTGGCGGAGTCGCAGGGCAATGGTTTGAACACATGCAAAGGATGGTGGTGGATAGAAGGGGGGAGCTGTCCCAATTGCCACTGCTCTCGGGACCGTGGGGTAAAGATCTGTGCTGGCTTGCGTGGCCCTTGCCTTGAGATTTCACCTGGTGCTGACAGCTCCAGGCCCTGGGGAAGCGCAGCTGGATCTGCCCTCACACTGCAGGCTGCCTGCGATGGAAGGGCAGTGTGGAGGCACTGGGGTGGGCTGCGGAGCGGCTGTACGGAGGGTGGCTCTGGGTATCGCAAAGCCTGCGCGCTCGCCTTCCTGCAGGCAGACCTCGGCTGCTGGCAGCCTGCTTCTGGAAGCTGGGGTTAGAAGTGGGGGCTGCCTGGAAGCACCCCCTCTTCTCCCTGGGCCCCATGGGGTGCTGTGCTGGGATGGGAGGCAGGAGATGCTCCCTCCCTGCTGTGAGGGGTGAGAAACTGCCTGGAGAAACTGCCGCTTCCCTGGGTGCCAACCCGATCTGCAGGTGCTGTGCAGAGCTCTGCTGGCACCCTGGGTGCAGGCCAGAACCTGGGCTTTCGCCCCTTGCCCTGTCCAAGCACGGGCCAGGGGCTTGAAACCCAGACAGCAAGGGCTGTTGGCAGGCTGTGCGGGGCTGGGTA